ATAACAGAACAGAACAGAACATGAATTTTATTTTAGATTTGAGCATTTCGCTCCTCATCCATAACATAATTATACATTATTATGTCAAAGTCAAACAATATAATGATATAATACAATATTGAAAATATCTGTGGTACATATGACAAAAGAAGGTATAGAATATATATCAGTATCATTTAACATGAGATTCTTAACGTACATGAAAATAAATTGAGCATTTATTTATTTATTTATTATATATTTATTAATTATTTATTGTAAAAGATTATGCCTAATTCTTAATGCACAATTTAGGAAACAAACTAAATTATTCAACATTTTTTTATTTCTGGTTGACAACAACTGGGTTTCTCCCTTATTGTGTTAAATACGTCAAAGATATCTTTATATGAGAAAACTTAGAATAAATAAAAAGATAACATTTTTGTGCACGATCACCTCCTTGGTTTGTATTAATCTACTTGAGGTGACAGTGATTTTCTTTTTCACAAAGTCAATACATTGTAACACAACACATGTTTTAAAAGAAGTATGCGATCAGTTTTTATTTTATCAACATACATGAATAAAAGTAAACTAATTATTGAAGACTGTCATTGTTAAAAAAAGATGAGTGAATGTAACAATCAATTTCAAATGTACTTGAAAGTCAAGGAGCACCACTTGATTATAATATGAGCCGTGTCACGACAAAACCAACATAATGGGTTTGCGACCAGCATGGATCCATACCAGCCTGCGCATCCGCGCAGTCTGATCAGGATCCATGCTGTTCGCTTACAAACCCTATAACAAGTAGAAAAACTGATAGCGAACAGCATGGATCCTGATCAGACTGCAAGTTGAATTACCTATTTTGTTTTGGGCAATAGGGGAGGTGCAGTGCTGTGCAGAAATATGAAACTTCAGCTCGTTTGGCATCCGAAGTTAAGTAGGAGCACTAAAACTGAAACAATTTGACATTCCGGACGAAATGTATGCACAGAATGTAGAAAACTCTATAATGGTTAAGCATTTTCTACGGAACAGTGTTCCAGCTATAGCGTCTGCTTTTATTAAAAAAAGCCACAAAACGCGCAGCTTTAAAATGACTCAACATTCTTCACTCGCCTGTTCTAGCTCTATCAGACTTCCTTTTACTTGTCAAGTTCCCAAAGTTGGAAACATTGATATCCTGAACACATTTTTTATATTAAAAAATATTGCTGTATGTTTCATAAAAGTCAAGTATTAAAATATGAGGCTAAGCATTTGTTCTATATTTGCTCCGTCATCACTGTTAATATAGTGTAAGTTATTAACATATAATGTATCTTTGTTAAACCACTCAGGTGATATAAGGTGATAATGAGGTAAGAAGGTATAGCAGCATGCCATCAAAGTTAGTTCCTTTGGAATATATTTTACTATTAATGTTGGGATAGAGAAATATTAAAAAAGAAGTTGGACCTGGTAAACTTTCAAATAAACTTTCAATCTTCAAAAGAAAAACCATCATTAAAATCGTCTTTTAGGCATTTGGTATTCAAACCGCATAATTCCATGTGCACTTTTGGATTATGAGGTCAGGCTATCTTCAGTTCCCAATTTGGCATAATTATAGCCATAAAGGATTCAGGGGACGGGATCATAGTTAAAATTCTAACACCGTTCGAGTTTAATTCTAAAGTCGTCATTTTATTTCACGCCCTCAATTGCAGAGCGTTAAGCGGAAAATCCAATTTAAAGATTCTTTAAACGTGTGTTCAAAGATTATTGTGAATAAGATAAAAAGTACACCGTTATTCTATTTTTCATGACATCGGTTGCAGTTGCCCCTCTTTGAAGAAATGGCGCGTGAGTGGCGTGTGCCGTCAATCTATTTAGCTGTGTTATAGACGTCGTTATCTTATAAATGTTGTTATCTTTAATAATCATGATACCTTAAAGATAACACAAAGAAATCAAATGTTGTGGTTTTATATGGCATGTTTCATGGTAAAGGTTCATGTGTGCTGTCTTCCAGCTTAAAATGATTTACATCGAGTGTGATGTTACAAAACGTCATATATTCCAAGATTGACTATGGTTACAAGTCTATCCTAATTAATATATTAATTGTATTAAGCCAGTTTAACTAAAATACTGTCAGGAGTTTATTCAGGAGAACTATTCGTAGCGTACTACTGCACTAGTATTATATATATTGTACTATTTGTATATTTTTTCATTATTTGATTTTATACAAAATTGATTTTGGAAACACAAGATATGCACTTCTAAAAGTGCAATTGTTTTACTTAAAAAATAAAATACAACATATACGTGTGTGTGTGATAATTTAAATGTAGATCTTAAACTCTTTGATATAAATCACACACCTCTGATACCTGGGTCTAAAAATGTCGTGATCATTCCACGGACTTTACAACTACGCTTAACGTTATTGCTTTGTTCCTTGTGTCATATTTGTTACCTTTATAATGATGATACCCGTTAATGAAAGACAATACATTTACATTATGTAACTATGGTCATTGTGTTATTTAGCTGTCATAAAAGTTCAATGGAATTTTCTCATGAATTTATTGCGTTGTTCTGAAATACAGTAAACTCCGCTTATAACGAACTCATTGGGACATTCAAAATCTGTTCCTTATATCCGGAGTTCCTTGTAAGCATATAGCGAATTAGTTCCTTGTATCAGTAGTTTTTATAGCGAACAGATTTACATATAACGAACTAATTGTTAAACATCGTCCGCCATTTTGAAGAGCATTTGATTAAGAATAATTTGTCATTTATTTCTTTTTTAGACACAATACCCGAGAGCGTACATTTTGGAATTTAAAAATCCTTTGTTATTTTAGTTTTAGATCTACTCCCTTTCTCAATTTCTGATAAAATATCATATTTTGTTTCTTAAGTCAGTGCTTTTCGTTTTCTTTCCATGAATAAAAATAAACAAGATTTTCCATATTTTCTTCCTTTTATATTGAATATCTTCTATTATATTTTAAGGTTGACTTTTACTTATAAAATATATAGATTACTTTTCTTTTCAATCAAGCATACTTTGTAGTTTTCTATTGATTTTGTTTGTGAAATCTTATTATAAATGATCATAATTATTTTACTCGAGCAAAACTATTAAAGAAAAGAAATAATAGAATAAAAGGAAATACATTTTTAGCTCGACTATACGAAGTATATGGAGTGTTGTCCTACTCGCCCCGGCGTCGGCGTCGGCGTCCGCGTCCAGATTTTAGATTAAAGTTTTGGTGCAGTAAATTATTTTTCACTATAACTTTGTCATTTCTTAAGGTATCAACTTCAAACTTCAAATATATGTTCCTTATCATCAACCACATCTTATGTGACAAGGTTCATAACTCTAGCACCAATATTTTCAGATTTATCTCCCCTTGAACTTAGAATTTTCCTCAAAAAATACTATTTCTTACTGTTTCTTCTTTATTTCTTAAGGGATCAACCTCATACTTCAAATATATTTACGTTATCGTCACCCCCATCTTATGTGACAAGGTTCATAACTCTAGCACCAATATTTTGTAATCAGAACAAGAGGAGAAATGGATCATTCAACGACATTAGACAATCTGACCATTTTGTTGACAGACCTTTAATTATTTAACCATTTGTTGTTTATTTCTTTAAGATAATCTAGATTGATAGAAGATTTATCAAAATTAAATATCTGAAAAAATCAGACCACTACGACCGCTCTTCAATAGAGATATTATTCAATTCTCAAATAACAGTGTTATTTGATGTTCAATGTACAAGAAATGCAATGATAGTTTCAGCGCGTGCAAGGTAGTGCGCGCGTTCGTGTCGGTCGCGTGGCGTCCATGTAATTCGGTAATCTCAAATAAAAGTCTATACCTTAACATACAATAGCTACATGATGTTATCACAATGAAAGATGAAAATATCTGATCTGAGATTCATAAATTGGATGCTCGTTTTCCTGCCTTTGAAGTTCACTTCACGGGTGAATTACCTGATATACCATTATAACATTCCTTCATTGATGGCAATAAAGACCTTAAAACTCGCGTGCTTCCAGGTCCTATTCACAATCAAATGCGTATCAGGTTAAAAGACTGTCGATTGGTTTAATTAGCCAGACCTTATCTTGAAATTAAAGCTGCCTAAGAGTATAAAAGATTTAATTCTGTAATTCTATTCCATCATCTTGTTATTTTCATTTTTGTCAAGTTCAATATTTAACTGCTTATAAAAAATTGCATAAATGTAGCTCGTTTTCCTGTCTCTTTTATCTACATCGATAATTGTATATTAATTGAATTTATTAAACTCACATGATTTTAATTCCATTCTATTTTTAGAAGATAAAGAAATTGTTATTTATATACTACTAGTATCAGTTTTAATTATATAAGTACATTCGAAATCATATCAAATATTTAAGAACAGAAATGTTTGATAGAATTTGTAACGAAAGGGCTCATTATTACTAGTATATTGGTTCTTATTAATTGTTCGGTTACTGAAAAACAAAAATCTTATATCATACTAAGGAGGAGAATAACCTCAGGACATGTCACTGAAATGATAAAGAAAACAAACACTTTTTGCTGTATTTTTGACATTTCATTTTTCATATTTTAAATGGTTGTAATCTTGCACTTTTTCAGCCAATTAAAATGTCAGTGAAGTAATTAAGGCAAAGACCCATATTTTTGCAGTGAAAGCGTATGAAATATCATTCTGACATTTTAAATCGAAGGTTATTATATTATTAAAACACGCATTTGCAAATTTGCTATCGCACAGTTTATAAAAAACCTCAATATTGATTGACAGGTAGCGTAATAAAATATCTTCGAATTAATCCAATCACATCTCCGGGTTGTAAAGCTACGGCAACTGGAAAACCGAGTTTAAAATTATATTATTCATATATCACTTTGAGTCAAATGTACGGTTGAAAGAGCCGCCTTTTCATTGGCTAGTAATAAAAAAGCAACTACCCGTAACTCAGGAATGAAGCTTAAATCGCAGTTGTTAAGATATTCATAATGTTGTGAACATTCAAGTAGAAATATAAGAATAATATGATAGTAAAATTTCAAATACTTTTACTGAATTGCCTGTTCTGAAGTAGTGAGGAGGGAAAAAGAATTTTGTACATCTTTGTCGATACATAACACTGCGTTCATTCTTTGTGCTTAATATGTCATATTTCAACTAAGTTTAAAATTAAAATCATGGAGTGCAATTTAGCTGAACTTGTACCGTTTCCCATGGATGTTCCAGGTGATATACTCAAAGAAAGCATAGATTTGAAGGAAACGAATAACGCAGCACATTCTCCTCGACTATATTTAAACAGTTTGAGTGATTACGATGAGACGGAATCATTAAGTTCTTATACGTTAACGGATAGTGACGCTACACCTAACGTGACGCCCAACACACCAATCAGTCCATCATCAAAGTGCGACTCCACACATTTTACTTTTACGAACATTTCATCTTTGTCTACAGGAATAAAGATAACGCAAGGTGACTCCCCTCTTCATAAAAGAGTTCTTCCAAACCGACGTAAACGTCATGAACCGCCATCAAAAGACATTTTACGTAAAAGAAGAGTTGCTGCAAACGCGAGGGAACGTCGGAGAATGGAAAGTTTAAATGTTGCATTTGACAAATTGCGATCAGTTATTCCTTCTTTTGGAGACGATACAAAACTATCAAAGTATGAAACATTACAAATGGCACAGACTTACATTGCTGCTTTAAAAGATTTATTGTGATGACGTGCAACATTTTCTTTACTGCGGAGTGCTCAACATTTATCGTGTGATATTTTTTAATATCTTTTATAGAATTGTTTTTAAAGTGATCATTACTTTTGCATTATGAGCAATACATATAGTTATCTGCCTAAACATGAACATGTAAGTCATTTAAAATTTCACGCCAACCTGTGTTCAACCGAACATATCACGTGTAACTGTGTTCACAATATCCAATGTGTTCCTAACTTTGACAATGTCTCTTGAAATATGTTCTACATTTCAAATAACTGTGTTCATTGATTTATGGACGTTCTTATTATGTAATTTTAGTCGATATCCGGGAAATCCAAATATTTTTGGGTTTTGTTTTTTTTTATCCTAAAAATTATTTATAGCATTTATCTGTTATAAATGTCCTTGAATATATCCCGGATATTTGCGGTATTCATTTAAGTTGATATGTTTACGATGTTTCATTAATTCTCATAAGAGAATCGGGTATCAAATGTATGTGGTTTTATTCAGGTTATTTCAATTACGGGAGATAAATGACTCGATCTGCTTAGATAATAACACAAATGATATATGCAGATATAATGTTTGACATTCAAACAGACACACGAACGATCATCAAAAAATAAAATACTTCTTAAAGAAATATTGAAATAGTTTTGTATTTACCAGCATCAAGCTTACCAAAACGTTTTAATATTTGTAAACTAATTAAATACGATTTCATCAGATGCGGTAACTATAAAATTAATTATTGACAGTTTTATAAATTTTCAGCCATATTCCTTATATATACATCATATTTCATACATTGTTAAAGATCCCTTTTCCATTTTTGTATATACAAGGAATGATAATTCCAGATATAGATGATATTGAATGAGTGTAAGTTCAATACTGAATTTATTGCACGAGTTGAATAAAATTATATTATGCGAGCCTCTGGCGAGCATAATATTATTTTATTCAACGAGTGCAATAAATTCAGTTATGACCTTACACAAATTTAATATTCTATTTATCACATACCCCAAATAAAGACCGTTTAAAGTGAAATAAGATTCTTTTTTCATTGACGCGCCTATAGTATAACGCTAACATTTAGCGCGTCTTTACACTATGTTTGTAAAACGCTAGTGACGTCACGTCAAAATATATGCACGGCCGTGCAATACCATATTTACGGAGTCGAAAAATCGGCACGGGTGTGTGATAAATGTAGATATGTTTATTTTTATATGTATATAAGATGAAAGTAGATTATGATACTGAATTTGCCGTGTTTTCGTTGTTTCTTTTGTCCATATGCTACTCAGATTATCTGAAATTATGCAATGTATTATGTTAAAGTGAAAATTCCGACTTAAAGACACATTCATCCTCAGAAATATTTGTTTTCCTTTAGAAAGGTCATACATAATGTTGATATAATAGATTTAGAATGTGTGAGATGCTATCACTGAAGGAATAGCGTTCAATGTGAAATTATTTGAGATAAAAGTAGCACAATGCCAACAAAGTTGTATTTTGACTACCATACAAAATAGTAAATCCCTATGAGTGTGCTGGTTGCCAAAAGAAGCGAAAGGTAGCTCAGGTATATTGTCAAATGAGTAACTTTATGGACACAATATATAAAAGGCTTTTGAAAAAAAAAGATATCATTTTCTGGATTAACGGGTCTTTAAACATCGTTATTTTACGTTCAATTTCTGTTTAAATTTACTTACAATATGGGGTACTGTAAATTATGAAGTATCTGAAGTTTCATTGTTGCAGTTTATCGCTAGTTTGTAAACATTGAAAGGTCTCCACAGCGAGGGTCTTATCAATCAAAGTCAATGATTTTATTTTAAACGGCACTGAGTTGTGCATGGTGAATTACAACTTTAACTTGCAATGTTACTCGGGATTAAACAACCGTCTTAAAAAATGTTTTCACGTTTGCTGATTCTCAGATAAAAACAAATATCACGGAGAAGCAAGCAGTAAAAGTTTTTAATTTTAAGGAAAAAATGCCATACACAATATTAATAATTATAAAAACATCGAAAATAAATAATACAAAACAAAATAAACGAATAAACAAAATGAGTAGCGTTATGGATGAGGTAAACGTCTTTGTTTGAAAATGAAACATAAGTATGATGTTGTATTGTTCATTGTTCTTATTCTTTGATTTTATTGGTTTTAATATCTCGAACCTTGAAGATTCTTAACTATTGTATGTTCGAGAATCATCATTATTCATACAAAAGACTAGAGGAACTTGCATAAGCGATAAACACAGTGATACGACATATAATTTTCAAGTTATTTTCTTAAAGCACAGAGATCATCATGTTTCCAAGCATTATACATATATTTTGCTACTTTTTAAAAAAGAAAGATATGCCAATGTTTGTGTTACTTTAATGAATATTATGGGTACGTTAAATATATAAAATCATGTTCAAGATGTTATAAACATACTATATAACTTATTGACAAAGACAAAAAGAGCAATATAATTCTGAAGTATAGGCCTACATTTTACATTGTACAGTATTTTGCTCTGGATTAATCTGCATGTTTAAAATACGTCACCCAGTTTAGTTCAAATATACAGTATTTTACACGACAACATGAAAAAAGAAATACCTGCATATATTGATAATGGTTCTAATTTAATATGATCTAAAAAAAGTACAAAATCATTTTCAATAAGTGCAAACACACATCGACCAGAAAAAACTCTGAAATAAAATGTGATGATAATGCAACGTAAAGGTAAATGTCAGTAAAATTGTAATCACACTAAAAGATGAACAGTATGTTCTTCTTTTGTTATGCCATTGCAACTGATATAAGTTATTACTAATACTTTAGACAACAATGGGGACCGCCGTGCCGGAGTGGTAAGATCTTTGACTTTCAACGGCTTTTCTTACCTGCATGGAATATATTCTTGCACCAGGAAATTATTCAAATATATTATTTTTGGGTGTCCCGAAGTAAGGCACAAAGTGGAACCGGAGTAATTCCTTACCCGCCAAGTTTAATATTAATGACATACACAACTGCTCACCCCCCCCCCCCCCCCCCCCACACACACACACACACTAGGATAAAGCTGAACTATTATAATCTTATCGTATGTATAAAATTATTCAAAATTTAACAAACACACGCTTAATTAATTTGTTTAATACAAATTCATTGTTTCGTTAGAAAATTACATGGGTTGCTAGAAACATAAGTTTTTATGACGGGAGGTACGTAAAATGTTAAATGGTAAGCAGACAGTAATAACTTTAAGTTTGCACGTATTAAGTGCTAGAATAGATTGTTTAAATCGTAATGTCAAGCGGATAAAGCTCTGAAAAAAAAAAGAAACAAAAAATAATTGACATTCTTAGGATACAGTTGTGTGTATTTAAAATTCATAACAAAACCTTTCTTTCATAATAGTATGACTGCAATTATCACCATGAATGCTTCTTCCTGCCGTTGTTTACTACCACTATTACAACCGTCGTACCGACGATATTAACTGCCACAGAGACACAGATTAGTACACTCAATTAAATTCTATTCTTGCGTTTAATCTAATCATTCTAATTTAACATACTAATTGTTATGATAGAAGAGACTATAGCAACCGTATACAAATCACGTCACCTGCTGTATTGATTACCGACAATCGGGTTGGTTTTTTTATATTATTATTTATCTAAACTCGACTGTGAAACAAGTGCTTGCCGCTTATATTTATCTTCCTGGATATAACCAGTATTTGTGTCTGATGTCATATCGTATTTACAATAGTCTGAGAGGCAGACACCTTAACCACAAACCATCGCTCCCCTTGTCATTTGATAACAAAAGAAAAAAATTACGTAATGCTCTCGTCCCCACTATGTTCACGATTTATTCTACATATTCCTACAACTGAACAGCCGTTTGTTGCTGCAGACTATAGTTGATAATATTTTACGAACCATTTTATTATGAATAGCCATACAGTTTCATATTCGTATATGCTCATGTATAAATCAATGATTTGATATTAAAATATTCAAACACATAATCAATGTAATACCAACTTCGTGAATAACAGATTTTGTATATTTTCATACGGCAGTTATTTGTCATATTCATATATCCAAATCAAACAAAGAGTTTATCAAATGCAGAAGCTTATATCGGCACTGTAAAATGTATGGTTCAAAGGGAGTTCAGTGACGACTCGACACATAATCGCCATATATTTTATATAAAAACAAGGTTAGCTTTTAAAAAAGCTAGTAGCGACTCGCTTCGTAATTTTTTTCAAGGGGTGTGTTTAAATGTAAAAATGAGTTCTTTTAGCTGAAGAGACTTCAGCGAACATCAAAATAAAAGTGAAGTCAACACTGGCCCGGTGCCCGATGGCCAGTGTATATAAGTTCAGGCCAGTGTAAATTTAAGAAAATTTTGTTAATTATTTAGTAAATAAATTCAAAACTGGAATTCGGGCCAGTAAATTCAAAATCTTAAACTCATTGACTGAAAGTGACATATAAAGTTCTCTCAGTTTAACCAAGATGAGTATGAGTATATATGAAGGTGCATGTAAACAGATAGAATGAAGAACCTATGTCTATGCACATTTACTATATGGCCTGTTGACCTTGACCACAAAATGTTAGATAGGTAGATTTCATAAAGATGTCTCTTTATACAAAATTAAGTTGTAATACATGTATGTTATTTAGTATTGGAATGAGAGGCACAAGTCCTAAAGTAAACACCAGTTGTCAATCAATTCAGCCAGAAAAGCCGGGATCCTATTAAAAAATATAGGGATCCCGGAAATTGACCAGTCTAAGAAGATGTTTTTCAGATAAGCCGGCATCCTATTAAAACATATAGGGATCCCGGGAATTGACCTGTTCAAGAATATAGTTTTCAGAAAAGCCGGGATCGTATTAAAATGTAAATAGATCTCACGGATTGGCCAGTTCAAATATATAGTTTTCAGAAAAGCTGGGATCGTTTTAAAACATATAGGGATCACGGGATTTGGCCAATTCAAGAAAATAGTCTTTGATTTTTCCAATTAATTAGGCATATAATTATATATAAGTATTGTGATTTCCGCATTTTAAGTTTGTTAATAAATAGCTCTAAATATATCTATATTCTAAGTTAAATTAATTTAACGTTCATTATATACAATAAAAAAAAATTAACGTTTAATGGCCTTTCATTACGACAACAATCAACACAAATATAGTTCATTAGGTTTTTCCTCCATATCTTATACGATCCCGGATCCCGGGCGTCCCGGATCCCGGCTAGTAAATACATACACTAAATACCGGAAAGGATAAAATGACCGGAAAAAAAATAAAAAAATAAAAAATGCACAGAACCAGATGTACACTTATGTTAATTAACCAAACGAAAACTTACTACAGAGAAAACAGGTGAAATCGCGAAACCAGAAGTCAGTGTAAATATGATTTATTGAAAAGAATTCATAAAGACAAACATTTTAATCATCATTATATCTTTGCGCTCAACACAATACTGGCTGATTTTTAAAAATGGCGTGAAAATTGAAGGTTTTTTGACGCTATGTAAGATTAAATTTGATTGGCTAAATAATTTTGGATCCTAGCCCTGATAGATAAATTTTGTAGAAAGCTGGAAGCCAAGCTTCGATTAAATTTTTGGATGGCTTCGGAGTTTTAGGTTGTTTCTCAGTAAAATCCTACCGTAATGCCGGCTCGGCACAAATGGATTTGTACACATGTGTAACATTTTAGCTGTAGTTGACATAATTAATATTTTTAGATTTATAAACTTACATTTAATCAAAATGAACATGCTATTTCTTCACAAGAAATGAAAATTTTAAGATAGTGCAGCAGTCGTCCTTTACCTTCCTGCTACCCACACTGTCGGGTAAAAACGGCGGTTGTTTGGCGCCAAAATAGCATAGAATAAACCACGGTTTAAATTAGCAATTA